TTTACACCTGTATAGAACACTAGCTATCGCCCGCAACTCCGTCCGCGCGGAATGAAAGAAACTTAATTATTAGCCTAAAGAGCGTCTGTGGCTCAGTGGTCAAGCAATTGACTTGCAATCTTCAGATCCTGGGTTCGAATCCCGCCATGTACCAATATGTTTCTAGATTTCTGATTTACATATGTACATTTATCCGACGTTCTTACAGTGAATGAAAACATCGTGATGTTGCACATATCTGAGAAGAAATTCAAAGAAATGTGTGAAGTCAACCCGCACTTGGCCAGCGTGGTTGACTACTGCCTAGCTACCCCTAACTTAGGGTAGGCTCCGAGCCCCTCGGTGGGGACGTATAGTGAGCTGATGATGTGTGTTCTTCTTGATGTTCTACATCAATCTAAATATTCCCATTTATAATATTAGTAGATTTTTTTTTTATGTAAGAAAGATGTTATTATTTGTTTGCCCAAGTTTTGGTGTTGTACAGTTTATTCTTTCAATAATTAATAATAATAATAATAATAATATTTATTTATTCAAAATACCTAGATTTGGCTCACGAGGTTACCGCCATGTGGCGTATGAAATCGACTACCATTATTCCGATAGTCGTATCGGTAAATGGACTGATAGCGAAGAGCTTCGACCAACATCTCAAGAAGCTCTCGCTAAACAGTTGGATTAAGGGCCCGATACAAAAGGCAGTTATCCTAGAAACCGCGCGCATCGTGAGAAGGTTCCTGTCTCTGCAGCCCTGACCACTGGTTGTTTGAGTCATGGGATTCCGCAGCCGGTGGTGTTCTCTTTTTAATATAATATGTTTTGTATATATATATTTTTTTATATGAAATGTATTATATTAGAAATGTGATAAATAAATGTATATGAATTAGTAAGTTTATTTATTCTCACTACAAGATTTACAAACAAATACAAACATATAAGTTCAAACACAACTTTGTTGTTACATATTCGTGATTTATATGACCCTAAGTTATGTAAGTATTAAACAGAGCTAATATAAAATACAAAGCAATAAATTTCTACATGCTAATATTTATTTATAATTAAGTAGTCTGATATGCAAAATTACGCTTCTTTACATTATAAAGCTATAACATGTATATAGCAAAAAAAAAGAAATTAGAATTACAAGTTATTTTACCACTATTACGTATACATCTAAATTGTTCTCTTTTTTTAATTACTATATTTTTTATTTATTTATTTTTTACAAAGTTGTAGACAATTATAACTTAAAGTTGATTTTCACGAATATTTCAATGAAATAATCAAACTGATATATTTAACTTTAAACATAAAATAACGACATCGTAATAAACTGAATCGAATTTTAAATTTTCGTAACAACATTTTAACGGTGAATTGATAGTATCCGGCGAGCCGTGTACATAATTCGTGTATTTCACGTAGAGATTCAAATGTTACTAGTTATAGAGCGGACATTAAGAGTAATTACTAATATTACATCTTACTAATATTATAAATTAGAATGTATAGATGGATTGATGTTTGTTAGAAGGTATCTCCATAACGGCTGCATGGATTTTGCTGAAATTTGGCATAGATGTAGGACATAGTCGGGAAGAACACATAGGCTACTATTTTTTTTTTTAATTCATTGCGGACGAAATCGCGAGCGGCAGCTAGTCTTTCTTAAATGTCAAATTAAACAAATGAAACCCTACCATTAATAATGTTTTTCCGCGTATGGTTTGGTTGTAATGTCCTGTCTATCTTACTTATGCGAATGTTTAGATGGATGTTTGCTGGAAGGTATCTCCACAACGGCTGCATGGATCTCGCTGAAATTTGGCATAGATGTAGAACATAGTCTGGAAGAAAATATAGGCACTAAGACACTAAGTATATTTTTAATTTCATGGGAACAGAATTCCGTGCAAAAGCTATTAAATAATAAAGATCGAAAATTCATTGTAAAATATATGTTGCATTTGTAAAATTATTTCTCTCGCAGCTGTTATATCTCATTGCAAATTGAATTTTATTTCGGCCTAAAGAAATAACGATTGCATTTCATTTAATTCTTCGTTTTAAATTTTATTTATTTCCACATTTTCATTTCCTATTCGATTTCATGAAATTGAAAATGTATTACATTTTTCAATTTATTTCTCAACGAACTTATTACTTGAATCTGCGGATTAAAGTATTTTTAATAGTTTTTTTATATAAAAATTGTTGTTTCAAAATGCAATAGTGCAGAAATGTGTTGTCAGAGATGATTGAGAAGGATTTTGACACCGTATTTTATATTATACTAGTTGTCGCCCGCGACTTTGTCCGCGAGGAATGAAAAAACCTAATTATTTACCGATAATTATGCGATTTTTTAAAACCTTTCTTATACCTCCACGAACATTTCAAAACCAAGATAAGATAAATCCTTTCAGCCTTTCTCGTGTTTTAGCAAGACTAACGAACAGCTATTGATTTATGTATATAGGAAAATTAGTTATCGCCCACCCTTTTTCTTATAAGGAAAGGATGGGAAGTGGAAGTGGACTTACCGGATGAGAGAATGCATGGAAAGGGAAAATATTTTCTTTCTGTGCATCCTCTCCTCCGTCGATTGAAGGTAGGCAACGCATACGCAATTGCGTATGTCTATGGGCAACGGTCACTTCGCTATTTCAGCGATTTCAGGTGAGCGCTCGCTCGTTTGCCACCATATGTAAATCTCTACCTATAACAAAACAAAAATGTGGTTTTATCATTTATTATTCTTTTAGACCTTATTAAAGTAATAAAGTATAATTTACAAACAAAATGTCGCCAAAGGTCGTAATGATAAAAACAACAGAAAGTAATTTATTATTTAAGATTCCTCCCAAAAAAGTTAGCTTGACAAATTATCAACCTTTTTCTAACTTTTCACCGATTTGTTCCATGAAAAATAAATTCTATCTTCACTGGGTTTTACTCATGGAATTAAAATTCTCTTCGTTAAATATATAGCGATGTTTATAAAACATATATTATATAATATATTCATAAATAGAATGTCTAAGACAGGGATGGTGAACCAGTAGCACGCGGCATATTTTGGGTACTTCGTACTTCTAACATTTTAACCCTTATGTTTATTTTGTATAGTATACCATAGGCACAACTTCATAAAAATATACGATCACTATAAAATTAATTTAAACTTAGTCATTTTAACTTTGTTTTTAGCTTTTCTTCAAAAAAGAAATCTTAATAGCAAAAAAAATATATAAATTGTAAATATTATTTTAGAAGAGATAAGCGATATTAGAATTTTAATAAGGCAATAATCGTAGAATCAAAATTATCTTTGGGTAAGTTTACCTCAGTAAACATTTTACTAATATTATATATACTAATGTTTAGATGGATGTTTGTTTGAAGGTATCTCCAGAACGGCTGAACAGAATCGATGAATATAGAACGTAGTCTGGAAGAAAACATAGGCTACTAAATAAGTTTTTAACATTGCACGCAGAGGGATTCGCTTGCGACAGCCAGTTTATAAAAACGGTCTAATACGTAAAGGTTTACCATCTCTGGTCTAGGATATGTTTTATTTATAAATCTAATTACCACATCATCACCATCAGCTCACTATTTGTCCCCACTGAGGGGCTCGTAGCCTACCCTAAGTTCAGGGTGATTAGGCCATAGTCAACCACGTTGGCCAAGTACGGGTTGATGACTTCACACATATCTTTGAATTTCTTCTCAGAGATGTGCAGTTTGCATCACGATGTTTTCCTTCGCCGTAAGATCGTCGGATAAATGTACATAAGTAAAATCGGAAATCGAAAACAAATTGATACATGGCGGGATTCGAACCCAGGACCTGCAGAGAGCCACCGACGCTCCAATTAATTACTACAAACAGTCGATACTGCCATTTTTATATATTGTTAAATAAAGAGTAATCCTACTCTTTTCCTTTGAAAAATAACAATGATTACGTTTCAACAAAAGTGTACAACAGTGGAAACCCACATGTGAACACCTTTGTATTCAATATCACTGCACTGACCGCTTTGTGGCGTAGCGAAGCCTCCGGCATTCCACAAGAAATGCCGTTCTGGTTAACATAAATAGAATAACATATATAGACGCGGTTAATATAACAATCAAACAGGTCCACTTAGAGCAGTGGTTCCCAAAGTTATTTTGTCTACTGCCCACTTTGAGAATAAACATTTTTTTAGCGCCCCCATATTTTCAAGTATTTAAAAACCACTATAACTTCAAATTAAATTAATTAATTATTATGACTTATATATAATACTTTTATGTATATTAACGGAGAATTCTAAACGAAACTTTTACTATAACCCGCAACTTGAAACCTGCAGCACCCACAAGGGGGCGTTATCGCCCACTTTGGGAAAGACTGACTTAGAGATTACCTTTGAAACGTATTTATTATATGGTGGCAAACGAACAAACGACTACTTCAGACTTACCGGACTTCGTCAAAATAGCGAAGCAACCGCTGCCGATAGAAATCCGAAATCGCTGATGCGTTGCCTACATTTAATCGACGGAGGGACCACAAAGAAAGAGGATATTTTACCTGAGCGTCTGCTCTCCCGTCAAATCCATCGTTTTCTTATAAGTAAAAGGGGACCAAAATAAGGTTTCCAACGCGCTAATTCTTTTTCGTTCTAAGTAAATTACGGATGTCGGATATCGTTCCAGTAGTTATTTGACCGTTTTCGTAACGAACAACAATTTAAATCAGCTGTTGCCCGCGACTCCGTCCGCACGGAATTAAATAAACATAGCAAGTAGCCTATGTGTTCTTTTTGACTATATTCTATATTCTAATTTCAGCAATATCTGTCCATCGAACCAAACATTCGCATTTATAATATTAGTAAGATTATTGTAAAATATAAACAATTGTCGATTATTAACTCTTTATTTATTAAATACAATTTTATATCAAAACATTAAACTAAACAAATACACTATATTTTATTCAATTGAATTGATTTCATTTAAATACCATTAAATCGAAATATTATTACTTCTTAAACTTGGATACTCTTGAATGTTGTAGAACTATAACATTGAATTCAGAATGATGGGCGACCATTACTTCCAATTTTTGCGTTTTTAATCTTAATATTAAAACTTCGTCAAATGGATCCTTAAAAATACAATTAAAATTGTTACGAATAACTTTAAAATATTATATACATATTTATAGAACCCTTATAGGATCACTTTGTTGTCCGTACGTAAAAGTATAAGTCAGCAAACGAACAAGCTATCAAACAAATAACGAAGTGTCTCATCTGGGGGGCTAGATAAAATCCATTTGCTCCAAAGCGATTCTATAAGGAACTTTAAAAATGTATAGAACTGACGATAAGTTTTGATAAGTCACGTGACTGTCGCGCGCCAGTTCCATACATTATTGAAGTTCGTTATGGATTCGCTTCGGAGCGAATGCACTTTGTCTAACCCCGCTATAACTAGAAGCGTTGCCTTGTGTGGATGTGTGAATGAACAAAGTATTTAAATAAAACAGATATTTCTCTTTTCATACGACCGACTAACTAATCTATAGTGTTATATGTTAGTCTATTATGACAGTCTAGATCAGTGGTTCCCAAACTTATTTTGTCTACTGCCCACTTTGAGAATAAATATTTTTTTAGCGCTACCATATTTTCACATATTTAAAAACCACTATAACTTCAAATTAAATTAATTAATTATTGTGACCTGTATATGTATATTAACGGAGAATTCTAAACGAAACTTTTACTATAACCCGCAACTTGAGACTTGCACGCCCACAAGGGGGCGTTATCGCCCACTTTGGGAAAGACTGGTCTAGAGCCTAAACGACTAACCGTGGGTTTCTCACACCAAAATCTCTATATAAAACATATCGTCATCCCTGTCATCTTTGACAACACAGAGATAACGATAACGAGATAAGATAACACGTTTTAGACTTGGAAACCCACGGTAAACCGATATTGACGAGTTAATCATTCTATTTGTTTCCCGGAGTATCATAGGTATAGTAACCGGGTAAGTATTTTCAGTACATCCCCTCCGTCAAATTCTCCTACGAGGAATATGTGTTTTAGTAAAAATCTTACAATTTCCTTGACACCCGCTTGCGCCATGAACCCCAACCTCCTCATTGCGTTTCCATAGTTCGTGGCTCCCATCACATTTATATTAGTTAGTATTGGTGAACCTTTTAAAAAAGCCATTATCACTAAAAACATCGCTAGAAAGTTTTAAGTAGATTTGTCTGTTTGGATGTCTGACTTCGTGCGGTCTGGTTTTGAAAACGGATCCGATTTCGATATGGTTATCACAAATGTGTAGCGATTGCGCGTGACAGATGCGAAAAGGATACCGGACTCGGACAAGGGATGAGACAGGAGAAGATAATGTATGTAACGATGTAAATAAGAAATTAAATATAAAATATATTATAAAAAAATGACTTTTAAGTGTTTTATCCCAAAGAGTTATAAAACACATACTTATGTCATTTGAAATTTAAATTACTAATATTATAAATGCGAATGTTTAGATGGATGGATGTTTGAAGATATCTAAAGAACAGCTGCATGGATCTTGCTGAAATTAGACATAACGTAGAACATAGTCTGGAACAACACATAAGCTAATAATTAAGTTTTTTTGAAAACCTTGCGGACGGAGTCTCTGGCGACAGGTAGTTAAAAGTAAAAATTAAATGTAAAGCAATTAATATTGCTATTAATAAAAACCGAAAATGTGCCAATGTATTGTCGCAACACTAGCCTTGCTAAAATGTCGACATTTATGTCCCCTCACTATTGATTCTGTCACTGGATTTTCTAACGAAAGCACGTCATTCGCGCCAAATGATTCTAATTAATAATGTCTAAAAATATGTACCATATTTGTTAGTCATCACAACTCCCTCGACAGACTCGTCTTCCATTATCCTATCAACTATTGGATTAACTGCATTCAAAGAAATCGTCTGGAACACCAAAATAAACTTAGCAGATATTTTCACTGATCTCCTCAAATAGATAGGCGATTACTCTTCATCAGCTCGCTATATGTCCCCACCGAGGGGCTCGGAGCCTACCCTAACTTAAGGGTGACTAGGCCATAGTCAACCACGCTGGCCAAGTGAGGGTTGGTTGACTTCACACATATCTTTGAATTTCTTCTCGGATATGTGCAGGTTGCATCACGATGTTTTCCTTCACCGTTAGAACGTCGGATCAATGTACATATGTAAATCGAAAATCGAAAAACACATTGGTACATGGCGGGATTCGAACCCAAGACCTGCAGATTACAAGTCAAGTGCTGAAACCATTGAGCCACCGACGCTCTCTAGGCGATTACTTGGTAACTGATTTTTATTATGTTCCGATTTAAACGCGCCTTTTGATGTTACGTGACAGTTAACTCTATCTATATATTATTAGTTCTCATTCCCACCACCGCTACAAACCGTTACCATCAGCGCCAAAATGGCGTAAATCGAATAGGCACAAAATACTACGTTGTAAAGCCAGGTCAGTAGATTTATTAATTTAAATAAGAGAAGGAGTTTATTAACTCACCGTATTTATAAGCCATTCGTCTCTTGAGTCTTTTAACAAATTTGATAAAACCTTCATTGTGAAATTTCTTTTATTTCTGAAAACAATCTTATATAGAAGTCTCTGATGCGATTTGCCTTGACTATTTACCAATAGACATGACTTCCTTGCTGTTTTCGATACTAAGAAAATATTTATTCATTCATCATCAGCTATACGTCTCCACTGAAGGGCTTGGAGCCTACCCTAAGTTAGGATTGACTAGTCCACAGTCAACAGTGGCCCAGTGTGGGTTAACTTCACACATATCTTTGTATTTTTTCTCAGATATGTGCAGGTTGCATCACGATGTTTTCCTTCAACGTAGGATAAATGTACATATGCAAATCGGAAATCGAAAAACACATTGGTACATGGCGGGATTCGAACCCAGGACCTGCAGATTGGAAATCAAACGCTTGACTCATCAGCCACCGACGTTCTAAAGAAGAAAGTAAGTATTCAGTCTGATCACATAATTTTTCTAATGTCGCATATTTTCCGTTATAAATCCAGTAATTACGTTAATAACACTCTAAATCTAAAAACAAAAATCAGCGTAATACCTTACTTATTTCTTTCTTGACTTCTTACTTTTACACGAGCCTTTCTTCTTATGAACAACACAGGCAGCGAACTGTTCGCCCCTGACCAATGAGACTTCTAAATTACACGTTTCTATGCGGTACGCGACCAACTGGTCTAGGACGTCCTGTCGGTCATGGCAACGGCCGAAATCAATATTCGATCTCAAACCATTTTTTACTTATACGCGATATTTTCAATTAACATTTTTTAAACAATTTAGTTCTTATGTAACCAATCTAAATATCGCTATAAGAATCCAAAAAAATATATTTAAAAGGAATAATTTAAATCAATAGATCGATCTTTCTATTCCCAAAATTGTTATAACAAGCTTTTTTTACTTTATTCTAACTAATAGAGCTGAAATTTCACATACATGTGTAAATCGCTTGATGAATCAGATGATGGAGCTAGAAGTTTTTAAAGGAACTTTGCAATTAAACGACACAAACTCATCGAGTTTGGGCTCGTCTGAATCGTCTCGTCGAATAATTTGTCTTTTTAACTATCAGTTATTTTAATTAAGGAAAATATAATAAAAGTTTCTTTTTAAATAGATTTAGTAAAAAGATAACGTTCAAAATACTTACTATTTCTATAATAGCTCGATGTATTGCCGTTGTGAAATGTGGTAACTTCAAAATCAATGGCGCGGCCATATTTTCTGGCACCGTGCATAATAGCGCGTAATCTGTAACAAAATGAATGGAAGAAGAATATGTTGGTAGAAATATAATTAAATAAAGGTTATCACTTACTATCCCGAAAGTAAACAATACCATAAACCATTGGATTTGCTTCAATACGCATTATTACCTTAAAAGTTGAATTGCAGAACTCCTGGATATAAATAACAGAATTTGAAGTTATTTCCATCTTATATTCTAAATATAATAAGCCGCCCCTCGACTCCGTGCACGCGTAATTAAAAACACTTAATTAATAGCCTATGTGTTCTTCTAAGCTATGTTCTACAATTATGCCTTTCAGCGAGATCCATACAATTGTAATAAACATACATCCATCCAAACATTCGCTTTTATAATATTAGTAAGATAGTCACCCACGACTCCGGCCGCGCGGCATTAAAAAAACCTAATTAGTAGCCTATTTGTTCTTCCAAACTATGTTCTACATGTATGCCAAATATCAGAGAAGTCTATGAAGCCGTTCAGGAGATACCTTCTAACAAACATCCATCTAAACATTCACATTTATAATATTAGAAAGAAGTAAGATTTGACGCCACCAAGGAGTTTGAACTGAAGTTGGTAAAACTCTTTGGTCGTAAAAAGAAGAATTTAAAGTTTATTCTCACTGGTGGAAGATCTTTTTCCGATATTTTCTTTTTGCACATATTATTCATGATGTTAAAGTTATTATATTATTATAAATTGTATACTAAATTATAAAAAATATAAATGGAAATAAAAATAGTATTAATCAAGAAAAAATGTCAGAAATTTAAATTAGAAATACGTCAAAAATCAAGTAGGTCGCAGCTAAATAATAGAAAGAGACAAAATTGTACACATTATTAAAACATTATCCCTCTCGCTCAGTGTCATTGAAAAAATAAGACAATAATAAGTTAGGAACTTGCGGTCGGAACATTACACAGTGGAAACTTCGATGTATTCTGAGTGCAAGTCGGGGCAGGTCACTAGTGTAATGACGTAACACATAGCGTGAACGTGACTGGATACAAGATACAGTACTGCAACCGTGTAAATTGATTACACATTGTATTTGTTGCTAGTTTCACACGTGGGTAGAACAGGCAATGATATAAAACAGTCCTGAAATATCTTGCGCACGAGGAAAACTGTCCCGGAGACAAGGACCTGGTGGGCTAAAGTCAAACTAAATAATGGCAACTTATTAGCGCCCTGTCGACGTCAAAAAAATTTCAGAAGATCCTTTTTGTAGTAGCTGTCATACCATGTTTTTCTTACATGCCATTTTTTATATCCGTGTAGGGGTGTCATAAAACTAACCGCGATAGTAGCCTGTCACCGGTCATATATAATTGTTATAACTAGCTGACGCCCGCGACTCGGTCTGCTACGCCCTTCTGAAGATACCTTCAAACAAACATACATCCATCTAAACATTCGCAATTATAATATTAGTATGATTGCTAGTCCCTAGCTTTTTTTTTCATAAAAGTAACTTTATCTAAATGACCAGTATTATTTTCTGTGCATTCAAACAATAGCAGTACTGTCATACCACCCTGCTCTGTTCTGCCTTCGTGTGAAAGCAGCATTACGGTAATTTGGCGAGGCGAGGGCGAGAGAGCTTTCTTTGTGCTTACAATCGACGCTATTGTGAACTCTGAGAATCTGTACTGATTGGAATTCTCAAATGCTATCTTTTATCTTTTATCTTTTATAAAATTAATTTTAAAAATATTACCGTATTTCTAACAAATAAAACTAACTAACTAGATTATGGTATTGACCTAAAGGAAAAACCTCGGTGAAGGAAAACATCGTGATGCTTTCCACATATCTTAACAGTACCATCATTAACAGTGGTAGAGCCCGCTTTAACATCTTCGCAGGAATTGGCCCGGCCCGCCCGGTGAAATACCACCACCACACAGAAGACAGGCGTCAAGTGGAAGCAATTCCGCGTTTCGTCTGATGAATGTGCGTCCCGGAGGCCAAAATTTAGTCCTCTTTCCCTTCCCACCCTTTTTTATAAGGAATGGATGGGAAGTGGAAGTGGACTTTCCGGATGAGAGGATGCATAGAAAGGGAAATTTTCTATCTGTGCACCTCTCCTCATTCGATTTAAGGTAGGCAACGCATATGCAATTGCGTATGTCTATGGGCAACGTTCACTTCGCTATTTCAGTGATTTCAGGTAACCACTCGATCGTTTGCCACCTTATGATATAAAAAAAAACTGTAAAGAAATTCAAAAATATGTATGAAGTCGAACCCGCACTGAGTCAGTGTTAACTATGGCCTAGTCATTAAATTGAGTTGGCTCTAAACAAACTACGATAAGATAAAGATACAAGTATATTTGTTCAGTATTTTTTAATTAAGTAAAATAAAAAACAATAAAAACTCGCAACAAATAAATGCACAAATAAAAACAATATAAACAATTTTCTTTATTTAAAAGATCTTACTTATATTAAAATGCAAATGTTTGGTTGTATGGATGAATAGATGTTTGCTAGAAGTTATCTCCAGAACGACACAACGGAACTTAATGATTTAACATAGATGTCGTACATAGTCTGGAAGAACACATAGGCTACTTATTAAATTTATTTTTAATACCGGATGGAGTCGCGGGCGATAGCAAGTCTTACTAATATTATAAAAGTGAAAGTTTAGATGGATGGATGTTTGTTAGAATGTATCTCTAGAACGGCTCAACGGGTCTTTACAAAATTTGCCATAGATGTAGAACATAGTCTGGAAGAACACGTAGGTTACTAGTTAAGTTTAATTTCAAGTCCGCGCGGATGGTATCGCGGGCAAAAGCTAGTAAGTAATGAAAAGAAAATATAAGTCGTATGTGTATCTTTAATATTACGACATGTTTTTATTTTAGAAGGAAAAATATGAAGATACTTCATTGTAAATAAAGGTAAGTTTACACTGCGCACAAATACGGACAGGCCTCGGTCTGTTTGAGGTTCTCAAACTACGGATATGAGTTTGTACAGTTTTATTTGGCTACTTCAAAAGTCGGTTCACATTTTATAGCAAGCGAGGTATAAACACTCGAGAGATTATGAGTGTTGCCACTAACTTAATATTATAAATGCGAATGTTTGGATGTATGAAAATTAAAAGATATGTGTGAAGTCAACCCGCCCTGGGCCATCGTTGACTATAGCGTAGTCACACGTAAAATTAGTAGGCTCTAAGCCATTCAGTGGGAACAAACGACGATAAGTTAAAGATACATTAAACCCGCAACAAATAAAACAATTTTCTTTATTTAAAACATCTTACTTATATAAAAAATGCGAATGTTTGGTTGCATGGATGAATAAATGGTTTTTAGAAGGTATCTCCAGAACGGCTGCATGGATCTCTTTAAAAGGGATAGATGTAGAACATAGGCTGGAAGAACACGTAGACTACTCATTTGGTTTTTTTATTCCGGGCAGACGGTGTTGCGGGCGACAGCTAGTTATTAGTAAATTAAAAATATATACGCGCTTATCCACTAAAATAAAACTATACGTATAGTTGTCTCTGTTCTTTCCGACGAAAATGTAAGGGATGGCATAAAATACATATTTTACAACTGTGAAATTTTGAGGTTACAGTTATTCATATTTAGAAAACACCCAAATAAACAGGAAGGGATAAGATAAATATTTAAATAAAGAATTGATGACACGACCTTTTAATAATTCATGAAATAATACAACGGACCTTCGTTACGGGATTGCTTTGTCAAAATGAAAAACGATGCGCGCTCAAAAGGTGTCGAATGGGCGGGAAAATTGACAGCTGTCAAACGTGGATTAATTCGCGGGAGAGATACGCATGGGTACACGTATAGAAAGGTTCAATTGCTTGTAATATTACATATTGTAAAGGTTTATTCGATTTGAATGGAGTTATTGAATACAATTTATGTATAAAAGTTTATTTTAATCTGTCAAGTAACAAAAAAAATCGCCATTTTCTTTTTTAAACATACGAAAGTTGTAAGATATGAGACGAAATTGTTGAGACATTTTTTAAACGTCTAGTGTGAAACTAAATTTACTAATCGTAATACATTTTTTTGTAACTAAAAAATTCTTTAAGAAATCTTTAATAATAACGGAAAATAAAGTTAAAATGGCTATTCTAATATTATAACTATTCATACTGAATCTAAAGATAAGCCTTTATTTAGCTGAATTAATTATTAAGGTCCTATTCATTTCAAAACAAATCTAAATCGCTTGTCGGACTAGCTGTCCCCCAGGACTCCGTTCGCGATGAATTAAAAAAACACTTAATAAGTAACCTTTATGTTGTCAGACTATGTTCTAAATCTGTACCAAATATCATCGAGGTCCGTTGAATTACTCCGGAGATACGTTGTAACAAATATCAATCCATGTAAACTTTCGTATTTATAATATTAAGAAGATTTCGTAAAAATCAACTAATTAAGAACCTTAACCCCATTTTCCACCTACACCAATAATCGATCTTGAAGCATTTCAACTTATCAATTCCCTTTAAATTTAAATCTAAAGAGATAGCAAACCAAACACATAACCTATTGTTTACCAGATGAATGAATGCATTATGTACTTCGTTTTATACATAATAATGATCTGAAGGATAGGATTGAATTCAACTGCTTTTGAAACTCTTGCTATTTTGACTTATAAAATGAAAAAGAGCTTATTTTATTTAAGACTTTTAGTAAATTCCCGTCCTGTCCTCCCGAGCTCCATTAACCGTGTAATTAACACTTTCGAAGCCATTTTCCACTCGTTAAGCTTTTTCGGGGCGTGTATAAATTAATTTTAAGCGGTTATCATCTTTTAATTCCAATTTAAATATTTTAACAATGACATTTTAATTGGCGACAGCAAGTTATAAATTAGAAAAAAGTTTTATTTTGGTAAATATTGTTTTTGAAGTTTATTTTATTATTCTATCAGTTCAATAATTTCTACAATATTCAAGACTGAGACGATTTGCTCTAGTATATTAATTTAGTCTTTTTTCTCGAATAATCCTTTAAAAAATATATAACTCCAAAAAAACGATAAATTTTCTATTCGAGAAAATGCAGAAAACTTTCCTCATCGACAATGTATTTGGAGCAGAAAGCTGTATAATTTGGCGGGTAGTCGTGAATTATTCAAATATTCTTAGAAACTGCTGCTTAGATGCTATAGTTTGGATGCAAATTCTACGAAATCAACATGAAGCAGTCATTTTAATAGCGTTGAATACTGCATAAGATTTAATTATATGTATTGTAAGTAGAGTCGGTGGCTCAGGGTTTAAGCAGTTGACTTGTAATCTGCAGGTCCTGGGTTCGAATCCAGCCATGTACCAATATATTTTCGATTTCCGATTTACATATGTACAATTATCCGACGTTCTTACAGTGAATGAAAACATCGTGATGCAACCTGCACATATCTGAGAAGAAATTCAAAGATATGTGTGAAGTCAACCAACCCGCACTTGGCCAGCGTGATTGACTACTGCCTAGTCACATTTCTCCGACGTTCTTAAAGAAGCAAAACATCGTGATGCCTGCACATATCTGAGAAGATATTCTAAGATATGTGTGAAGTCAACTCGCACTGGACCAACGTGAACTATGGCCTAGTCATTCCTAACATAGTGTAGACTCCGAGGCCCTCAGTGGGGATGTATAGTGAGCTGATGATGATGCATTGTTTCACGATTTGC